AGTTTAAGACCATCTTACTGAAATAAGGCATGCAGAAAAGATTAGAGAAAAAAGAATGAAAAGGAACAAACAAAACCTCCAAGAAATATGGGACTATATGAAAAGACTGAACATACAATTGATTGGAGTACCTGAAAAAGACAGGGCAAATGGAACACAGTTGGAAAATATACTTCACAATATTATCCAGGAGAATTTCTCCAACCTAGCAAGTCAGGCCAACATTCAAATTCAGGAAATATGGAGAATACCACTAAGATACTCTGTGAGAAAATCAACCCCAAGACACATAATCATGAGATTATCCAAGTTCAAAATGAAGAAAAATGTTAAGCACAATTAGAGAGAAAGGCCAGGTCAGACTAACAGCAGACCTCTCATCAGAAACCCTACAAGCCAGAAGAGAGTGAGGGCCAATATTCAACGTTCTTAAAGAAAAGAAATTTCAACACAGAATTTCTTATCCAGCCAAACTAATCTTTTTTTTACATTTATATATATATTTTTTTATTGCCCTTTAGGTTCTGGGGTACATGTGAAGAACATGCAGGATTGTTGCATAGGTACATACATGGCAATGTGGTTTGCTGCCTCAATCCCTATTGCCTATATCTGGCATTTCTCCACATATTATCCCTCCCCAACTCCCTGCCCCCCACTGTCCCTCCCCTAGTCCCCGCCAATAGACTCCAGTGTGTGATGCTCCCCTCCCTATGTCCATGTGTTCTCATTGTTCAACACCCACCTATGAGTGAGAACATGCAGTGTTTAATTCTCTATTCTTGTGTCAGTTTGCTGAGAATGATGGTTTCCAGGTTCATTCATGTCCCTACAAAGGACATGAACTCATTGTTTTTTATGGCTGCATAGTATTCCATGGTGTATATGTGTCACATTTTCCCTATCCAGTCTATCATCCCTGGGCATTTGGGTTGATTCCATGTCTTTGCTATTGTAAACAGTGCCACAATGAACATATGTGTGCATGTGTCTTTATAATAGAACAATTTATAATCCTTTGGATATATACCCAGTAATGGGATTGCTGGGTCAAATGATATTTCTATTTCTAGAGGATGTGTCCTTGAGGAATTGCCACATTGTCTTCCACAATGGTTGAACTAATTTACACTCCCACCAACAGTGTAAAAGTGTTCCTATTTCTCCACATCCTCTCCAGCATCTGCTATCTCCAGATTTTTTAATGATTGCCATTCTAACTGGCATGAGATGATATCTCAGTGTGGTTTTGATTTGCATTTTACTAATGACCAGGAATGATGAGCATTTTTTCATATGTTAGTTGGCTGCGTATGTTTAAGTCTGCTGCAGTGGAACTCATAACTGCCTTTTTTTTCCCATATGCTCTGTCACAGGAAGGTGGGGCTTTATTTATAAGTTCCTGATGTGCTGCTGCCTTTTTTCAGAGATTCCCTGTCCAGCAAGGAGGTAACCTAGTCACAGCCTGCCAGAAGAGGCATTGCTGAGCTGCCGTGGGCTCTGCCCATCTGCTGTGTGAACTTTCTTGTGGTTTTGTTTATCGTGGTATAGTTGGAACTGCCGCAGTAATGGGGGTCTGCCTCAGTAATGGTGGAATGTCTCTGTAATGGCGTACTGCCATTGTAATGGCAGATTCCCTTGGTAATGGCGGACTGCCTCAGTAATTGTGGACTGCCTCAGTAATGACGGACTGCCTCGGTAATGGTAGACACCCTTCCCCCACAGAGCTGGACCATCTCTGATCCAGCTGTGCTTGCTGTGAAACTCTCAATCCAAAGCATTTCAGATTGCTGGTCTTTGTGAGGGTGGGACCCACTGAGCCAAACCACCTGGCTCCCTGTTTCAGCCCCCTCTTTTTCTGTTGAATGGGTGACTCTGTCTCCCAGGTGTTCCAGGGGCCAATTGAAACAGCACCCAGATTAGTGTGAGTTTTTGTGTGGAGATCCACTGCACCAGCTGCAATAGCTGTGCTGGAGACTCATGGCACTTTTCCTCCTGGGAATCTCCTGGTTTGTGGGCAGTAAAAATTTGTTTGGAAATGTGGTGATCACTCAGCCTCTGCATTCTCGCTGAGAACTGCACTCCAGAGCTGTTCCTATTTGGTCATCTTGGATCGTCTCTACCAAACTAATCTTTATAAGCAAATGAGAAATAAAATCCGTTCCAGACAAGCAAATGCTGAGGAATTTTGTCACCACCAGACTTGCCTTTTAAGAGCTCCTGAGGAAGTACTAAATATGGAAAGGAAAAACCAATATCAGCCACTGCAAAAACACTCCAAAACATAAAGACCAATGACACTGTGAAGAAACTGCATCAACTAGTGTGCAAAATAACAAGATAGCATCATAATGACAGTTTCAAATTCACACATAATAATATTAACCTTAAATGTAAATGGGCTAAACACCCCAACTTAAAAACACAGATTGGCATATTGGATAAACAGTCAAACACACATCATTGTGCTGTATTATGGAACCTCATAAAAGTCCAGATAGTTCAAGCAATATTAAGCAAAGAAGACAAAGCTAGAAACATCACTTTTACTGATTTCAAATTATATCACAAAGCTAAAGTAATCAAAACAGTATGGTACTGGCACAAAAACAGACACACAGATCAATGGAACAAAATAGAAAGACAAGAAATACATCAACATATATACAGCAATTAATTTTCCACAAGGGCACCAAAAATACACAATGGAGAAAGGATAGTCTCTTTAATAAATGGTTTTGGAAAAACTCCATATTCACATACAAAAGAATGAAACTGGATGCTTACTTACACCATACACAAAAATCAACTCAAAATGGATTAAAGATCTAAACAAAAGACCTGAAACTATAAAACTCCTAGAGAAAAGCATAGGGAAAACCTCCTTGATGTTGGTCTTCTCAATGAGTTTTGGATTTGATGCCAAAAGCACAGGCAACAAAAGCAAAAATAAGAAAGTAAAATTATCTCAAACTAAAAATCTTCTGCATAGCAATGGATACAAAATAAAAAGACAGAATTTGCAGGAAACTATTTGCAAAACACATATATTATAAGGCATTAAGATTTAAAATACATAAGGAATTCACACAACTTAATGGCAAAAAAAGGCACACATAACTGGGTTTAAAAATAGGCAAAAGTCTGAATAGATATTTTTAAAAAGAAAACAGACAAATGGCCAATATGTATTTGAAACATGTAGTTGAAAAGATACTCAATACTAATCCTCAGCAAAATGCAAATCAAAACACAAGATTTCTTCTTACACCTGAAAATATGGCTACCACCAAAAAGTCATGTAGTAACAAGTGTTGGTTAGGGTGTGAAGAAAAGGGAACCATTGTACACTGTTGCTGGAAGATAGATTAATACAGCCATAATGAATACAATGTGGAGTTTCCTCCAAAACTTTAAAATAGAACTACCATATAACCCAGCAATTTTTCTTCTAGGTATATTCACATAATAAATGAAATTAGGATGTCAAAGAGATATCTGCACTCCCATGTTCATTCAATATTATTCAAAGTAGCCAAGATACAGAAATAACCTAAGTGTCCATCAATGGGTAAATAGATAAACTGTGCTATATTCACACAGTGAACTATAACTCGGCCTTTAAAGAAAACAAGGAGATCCCTTACAACAACATGGATGAATCCGGATGATGCTATGCTAAGTGAAATAAAGAAGACAGAAAAATACTGCACAATCTCACTTATATGGGGGAAAAATGTTCAGTAGAGAGAAAAAGAGAGTAGAGTGAAGCCAAGTGTGGGGAGAATAGGAGATCTAGGTCAAAAGGTACAAGGTTGCAGTTAAGTAGGATGAATTAGTCTAGGCATACACAGCATGTGGACTATAGTTAGGGTATTGTATACTAAAAATATGCGGAGAGTAGATTTTAGTCACTTCTACCACACACACACACACACACTGATGCACGTAACTAAATGAGGTAATAGACATGTTAGTCTACTTAAATATAGTTATCATTTCATTATGTACTTGTATACCAAGTTGTACAACATTATGTTGTACATCTGAAATATATACAATAAAAATGAAAAAAAAAATTCCACTACCATTTTTTTATGGTATCAGATAAGAAACTTACTGTGTTTTCTAAATGATTTTCCTCTATAAGAATGAATTCTTTCTACTTCTTTAAAGGTTTTTCTGTTTTTAATTTTCAAAAGTTTAATTAGCATGGATTTCCTTGGGTGTATCCTATTTGAGGTTTCTCAACTTCTTGAATCTATGCTCTATATGTCTTTCACAAAATTTAGGAAGTTTTTTGCTGTAATTTCTCTGAATACTTGCTCAGTCCCTCTTTAATCCTCCTGTCCTTCTGGAACATCCACAATATGAATGCTAGCTCTATTTTTACTGTCTCACAGATATACATAGCCCTGGAGGGGTTTTCTTTTTCTTTTTCCAGGAACCTTGTGAAAATCGGATACATGGGGAAGGAGGAGAAATATTATACCTGATTTGGCCTGGAACCTCAAGAAGGCTTCCTACATGAGAGGAAACAATATTTAGGTTGGTATGTATAGCATAAGTAGGCATTATCCAGGCGAGGGGGAAAATGTGTTTTATTTAGAGGTATTGCACATAGGAGGGTCTGAAGACATCAAAGAAATACACATGTTTAAGGATTTGAAAGACCAAATAATTAGTTTTTAGTTTCTGTGCTTACGGCAGAGAGGAAATGTGGTGAGAGATGAAAAAAATCAGGCCATATTTAGGATCTGAACTAATCTACTTACATTTATGGCCATGGTTAGTGTATTGAGGATTGGAAGAGAGAGAGAAACAAAGTGGAAAGCTGGCTAGGGCTTATTAGTCAAGGTTCACCAGAGAAACAGATTTAATAGGATGTATGCATGCATGTGTGAGTGTGTGTGTCTGTGTGCATAAGAGGTGTGTGTGTGTGTGTGTGTGTGTGTGTGTGTGTGAGAGAGAGAGATTAAGAATTACCCTCATGTGATTATTTTGGTAGCTAGCAAATCCTCGATACACAGAGGAGGCAAGCAGATTGGAAATTCCAGCAAGAGCTGATATTGCAATCTTCAATCCAAAGGCAGTCTGGAGGCAGAATTTCTTTTTCTTCAAAAGATCCTCAATCTTTTCTCTTAAGGTCTTCAACTGATTAGAAAAGGTCTATTCATATTACAGAGGGTCATCTGCTTCAGTCCAAGTCTGATGATTTAAGTGTTAATCACATCTAAAAAATACCCTTGCGGTAATATCTATCCTGGTATTTAACCTGAACTTATAGCAAATAACTACTTTTGAAAAATAATTGTAAATATCATTTTTAAAAATTTTCAGCATAAGTGTTCTGGTCATATGAAACATTTTGTTTTTGTTAATTATAAATTTAACTTTTTAAAGGTAACTAAATATGGACCTCTAATTTACTACTTGGTGTCTGAAAATCCATTACCTGCACCTACTAAAAAGCTCTGTACTAGCTAATTATATATAAACATAAATTTCAAAGACAGGCACTCAATTTCCTTTTATTATTATATCTATAGGATATTATTATATTAAATGCTACAAAAATAATAGTCATCACCAAGATAATATTTTTCTACCAAGCTCTCTCTTCAGAGCCCCCTTAATCTCCTTGTTCCTGAGGCTGTAGATCAGGGGGTTCAACATGGGAATCACCACCGTGTAGAACACAGACACCACCTTGTTCTGGTCAGTTGAGTAGCTGGACTTGGGCATCACATAAATGAAGGTAATGGTCCCAAAGAACAGAGTGACCACAGTGAGGTGGGAGGTACAGGTGGAGAAGGCCTTGTGGCGCCCGTCTGTGGAGCGCATCTTCAGGATGGTGATGAGGATGTAGATGTAGGAGACGGCTATGACACACACCGTGACAATAACAATGAAGCCAACAGAAAATGAGGAAACAATTGTGGGGAAACTGATGTCAGAACAGGAGAGTTCAAGTAAAGGAATGAAATCACAGAAAAAATGATTGACTCTGTTTGGTCCACAGAAACATAAAGAAAAGAAGGTACTAGTATAGAAAACAGCATTGAGAAAACCAGCTATGTAAACCACTAGGAATAACTGGACACAGACTTGTGTAGACATTTTGGTTGAATAAAGCAGTGGGCTGCAAATTGCCACAAAGCGGTCATAGGCCATGGCAGCCAGAAGGATGCATTCGACTGTCCCAAAGAAAACTGTTGAACTAAGCTGGATGGCACATCCAAGGTAAGAGATTGTATTTCTCTCCACCAGGAAGTTTACAAGCATGTTGGGTGTGACAGAAGATGAATAGCCCATGTCAGCAAAAGCCAAGTGACTCAGAAAAAAGTACATAGGATGATGGAGCTGAGAAGAGATTCTGATAAGAATCATTGTGCTGAGATTCCCAGATATGGTCACCAGGTAGATGCATAGGATGATCATGAAGAGGATGACTCGGAGAATTGGGTCATCTGTTAAGCCCAGTAAGATGAACTCCGTCACAGCAGTGTGATTCCCATCCTCCAGGGAGTCCATGAGACAAAGTAGCTGCTGCCAAAATCAATCTGTGATGAGAACAACACATTAAATCAGTTATAAATTTGATGGTTTCATTTGCATTAAAATATAGATGGAGGTTATTATGAACAGATATATCATTCAAATAAAGTTTGGACTAAAAATTAAGTATTTTTGTTATTTCAAGTTGAAACTTTATTATGTCACCTGTATTCATGTTAGCACTATGCAAAACATTATTTGAGTAATATTCAAAACATCATGAAAGTACATTTTGAAATAGATTAAATTATTTCATAATGTAACTGTATTCTAATTGGAGTACTATTGAAAGAAATAATACTATTTTGGAAATGATATACAGTTGTATAAAGTCTAAGTTTAAAAACTCAAACAGTTTACCTAGGTTCACCAAGTTAGTGGCCAGCTTGACCTTCATCTTCAAGTTTTCTGGTTTGTAATCTTTAACTGCTTGTCCAAAGTGGCTGGTTGTCTGTGATGCTAGAGCATTTAGACCAATAAGCAAAGTAGGTATCTCCACATGATATTTACTAATAGTGTGTTTCCAAAGTATCTCATAGCTAGTAAATTTATTAATATTATAGCTGAGTATCAACTTTAGATCATGTTAAAAGATCACTTGAGCTTCTTTATCTTTTGAAAAGATAAATAATCCTGGTAAATTAAATTATGTCTATTAATTCACACTGAATTGACTGTGAAATGTAGTTCAGTTGATGTCGTTTGCTAACTGATTGCAAGATTACCTCCACTGTATTTCTCAGCTATGACTTGTGAGTACACATATAATTTTAAAGTGTTCTCAAATGGTAAATGAAAATCAGCATATCAAATTTACTCATAAAAGTCAGTCTTACCTCTTGAAATAAGAATGCATTCCTCTCAGTTATAAATTCAAAGTCCTTGTTATTATATAGAGCAATATTATATTATTGTTTGCTTTTGAGGATAAATCTCTGAAGATTCTAGAGATTCAAATGTGAATTCAAAAGCACCAGAGATCATTATCACATTCTCAGGTGAATATTGAGCAGTTTGACTCACACAAACACAGCTAATCTTTAAAGGTTCCATTAATTCTCAAATGATCAGTTTTTTCATATTATCTATGTGTTGGTGCTCTTTCATTTGATAATTATTGGGAGTATAACATAATAAATTGTCTCACAGGTAAATATTGGTTCTAAGCTTACTTTGCTATTTTAGGTTAAAGAATATTAAAGAGCAAATAGAAAACACTAAACTTAGCTTCATTCATTCAACAAATGTTCATTTCCTAAGTATTTTGTGGTGTTAGCTATAAGACACTCCATTAGGTGCTTTTGGAAATCTGAAGTGGAAATCTCACATAAAGTTGAATTTTAAATAACACAATTATTTAATTAATAGACATGTCTCTGGCAAAAGATATAAAATAAATACCATTAAAATTGTGTAGATAAATGTGTTTAAGTTTTTGTATGTTCTGGATATACAAGAAAAAAACAACCCCATCAAAAAGTGGGTGAAGGATATGAACAGCCACTTTTCAAAAGAAGACATTTATGCAGCCAACAAACATGAAAAAAAACTCACCATCCTGGTCATTAGAGAAATGCAAATCAAAACCACAAGGAGATACGATCTCACACCATTTAGAATGGTGATCACTAAAAAGTCAGGAAACAACAGATGCTGAAGAGGATGTGGAGAAATAAGAATTCTTTTACACTGTTGGTGGGAGTGTAAATTAGTTCAACCATTGTGGAAGACAAGGTGGTGATTCCTCAAGGGTCTAGAACTAAAAATACCATTTTTCCCAGCAACCCCATTACTGGGTATATACCCAAAGGATTATTAATCATTCTACTTTAAAGCCATATGCACATGTATGCTTATTGCAGCACTATTCACAATAGCAAAGACTTGGAATCAACCCAAATGCCCATCAATTATAGACTGGATAAAGAAAATGTGAATGTTCTTAATATCACTGAACTTTACACTTAAAATGGTTAAGATGGAAATTTTTGTTATATGTATTTTACTGCAACTAAAACCAATTTTTAAAATAAAAAATATATCCCCAGAGGCCAACAGAAAGACACAGAAATAAACCCATGCATATATGGACAATTAATTTTAGACAAGGTCACTGAGAATGCACAATAGCAAAAGGATAGTCTCCATAATTAAGCACTTTTGGGAAAATTAGATATGCACATGTAAAACAATAAAATTTATTTATTTAAAACCAGTCTCAAAAACCAACTAAAATGGATTAAGACCAAAACATGACACCTAAAACCATAAAACTCCTAGAAGAAAATATAGGAGGAAATGTGCTTGACATTGACCTTGGCAATTATTTTTTTAATTTGACAGCAAAAGCTCAGGTGAGAAAAGCAAAAATAAGTTACAGCAAACTAAAAATATTCTGCACATTCTGCACAGCAAAGGATACAATCAACAAAATGAAAAGGCAACTTATGGTTTGGTGGAAAATATTTGTAAACCATATATTTGATCAGAGATTAATATCCAAAATGTGTAAAGAACTTACAACAACTCAATAGCAAAAAAAAAAAAAAAACCCTCAAATAACCAGATTAAAAATTGGGCAAAAGATTTTAATAAACATTTCTCAAAAGAAGACAAATGACCAATAGGTATATATAAAAACATGCTTATTGGTATTGCTAATCATCAAGGAAATGCAAATTAAAACCACAGTGAGATATCACCTCATACCCATAGGACGACTATAATAAAAAAGACATGAGATAACAAGTGTTTGTGAGGGTGTGGAGACAAAGGAACCCTTGTGCACTGTTGGTAGAACTCTAAACTGGTGTAGACATTGTGGAAACAGTACAAAACTTCCTCAAAGAATTAAAAATAGAACTACATATGATCCAGAAATCCCTTTGCTGGGTATGTACTCAAAGGAAATGAAATCAGTGCCTCATGGAGACATCTGAGTCACAATAAATGGATAAAGAAAATGCTATGTGTGTGTATTCAGCCATATATATATGTATTATATGTATTATATATGTATATGGCTGAATACATATATATATTACATATATTACATACATTATTACATTATATTACATGTAATATATATTACATACATACATATATACACATATATATGGCTGAATACATATATATATAAAATACATGCAGACACACACATACACACATGCACACAATAGAATATTATTCAGCCCTGTAAAAGAAGGAGATCCTGCCATTTGTCACAACATGGATGGTCCTGAGGACATTATGCTGAGTAAAATAAGCCAAACACAAAAATAAAAGTATTTCATGATCTCACTTATATATATGAAATCTTTTAAAAATATCAAATACATAGAAACAGAGAGCAGATTGGTGGGTACCAGGAGGAGGGTGTAGTGGGTAATGTCAGACTATGCTCAAAGGCTAAAATGTTGCAGTTATTTAGGATAAGTTGAGAAATTTAATGTACAATAAGAAGACTATAGTTGGCTGGGTGCTGTGGCTCATGCCTGCAAGGCCAGCATTTTGGGATGCCACTGTGGGCAGATCACGAGGTCAGGAGATCGAGACCATCCTGGCTAACACAGTGAAACCCCATCTCTACTAAAAATACAAAAAATATTAGGCAGGCCTGGTGGCACGCACTGTAGTCCCAGCTACCTGGAAGGCTGAGGCAGGAGAATCGCTTGAACCTGAGAAGTGGAGGTTGCAGTGAGCCGAGATCATGCGACTGCACTTCAGCCTGGGTGACAGAGCCAGAATCTGTCTCAATAAAAAAAAAGAAGATGAAGACTACAGTTAATAATATCATATTGTATAAACAAAATTTTTAAGGGAGTAGATTTTTTTTGTTTCTTCTTTATTTTTCACTTGTATGGACACATAGTAGGTGTTTATATTTATTGAGTACATTAGATATTTTGACACAGGCTTATAACATGTAATAACAATATCAGGATAAGTGGGGTATTCATCACATCAAGGATTCATCCTTTCTTTGTGCTACAGATTCTAGTTCTACTTCATAAGTTTTATTTTTAAATGTACAGTAAATTACTATTGACTATCATCACCCTGCTGTGCTGTCAAATACTAGATCCTATTCATTCTATTTAACTATATTTTTATACCCATTAAACATCTCCACTTCTGCCTACCTTCACCACTCTTCCCAGCTTCTGGTAACCATTATTCTACCAAGAAAGTAGGTTTTAGGTGCTCCAGTCAAGAAAAAAGAAAGGTAATTATGTAAGATGATGCATGTGATAATTTGCTTAATTGTTATATTATTATGTTCATGGTATCAAAACATGTTGTATAACTGAAACATATACAATTTTTTAAGTCATAATAAGAACAAAAAAATGTTGCTCCGCTTTCTGGATTCATAGTTTTGGATGAGAAACTCATTGTCTTGCAAAATGCTGTTCTTTTCTAAGTAATATGTACTTTCTCTCTGGCTGCTTTCAAGATTTTTCTGTCTTTAATTTTCAAAAGCTTAATTTGGATGTGTCTTGTTGTGGATTTCCTTGGGTTTATCCTATTTGAGATTTGCTGATCCTTCCTCAATCTGTAGCAGCTCTATACATCTTTCACCAATTTGGAATGTTCAATCATTACTTCTTTGATTACTTGTTGAATACCCCTTTCCTTCTGAGATTCTCAAGATATAAATGTTAGCTCTCTTTTATTGTCTCATAGGTTCATGCAGTTCTGTTCTATTTTATTGTTCTCATCTATTTTGTTTATTGTTCAGACCAGGTAAATTCTATTGATTTTTATTTAAGGTCACTGATTTTGTCCTCTGTGTCTCCACTCTGCTACTGAACTCATCTGGCAAGTTTGTTGTTGTTTTTTAATATTTCTATGAGTATATTTTGCAGTTTTATAGTTTCCATTTGGTTCTTCCTTGTAACTTCTATTTATTTGCTGAAATTATCTATTTTTATTTCTTTCAAGAAAATTAATGATTGCTTCTTGAATCATTTTTTATGGCTGCTTTAAATCTTTTTTTAG